TCGATGCCAGATTCCGCACCAGAGGAATATAAGAAACTTGCCGAGCGGTGTTGTGATGCTGATCCTGATAAGCGTCCAGAAAGTGGATTGGCGCTTTGCTATGAAATTGACAGGCTTGTTGATGGCGGGATTTGATGGCGGGATTTGTTGACGGTTACGAAGACAACAATTGGTTATTAATAACGTCAATATACATTATTGACATCGTCGACTGCTGTTGCAAGATTCTTGTATTCTCGAGGAGAGATTCTTGAGTAGGATTGATTGTGTGTTCTGTTAACTATAATGTGAGAAATCACTTGATATGCCACGTAATAATAAAACTAAAATTTTCACCTGTATTAATGACGGCACATTGTTTTGGCCTCTTATTCACTCGTCAGATATTGTGTAGCTCGAATCTCATTCCTACCGCATACCGGGTAACTGATGCGTAATTCATGGCCATCTTTTAATGACGTATTCATGCAGTTGCATTAACCGTATATGTTGAAATCGACGTGGGATATGTCAACAGCTTTGAGTTATCACATCCGTAATCACATTCTGTTATTCAAGTTGTGTCGATGAAAAACATTAAGATGTGCGTCTACCTTGATCATCCCGCGCGTTACAGTTTGTGAGGCGTCGTTGCATAATTTCCCATTTGACATTTTCACTGCATGATGTATGTACGATCCTTCATTTCGAGCGCGATCTATATAATACACTTTACTCATGTTATTGTAGTCAACATTCACATGCGTCCACTTTTGAAACAAAGGAACCAAATGGCTTGCACGTGACTACCTTTGTGAATGTTTTAAAGCTGCGACATTTAATTTAAATCACATGATCAAAGGAAAGTCTCGTCCCACCCATTCCTGCATTCGCGTATTGTCTGCGTATTGATCAGTTGTAAACATGTTTGTGAAATCATCTGATGAGGTGCATCTCTCCGTTATTTATAGGCGCAAGACGCCCGTTGGTTGATTTTACACGAGTGATATATACAGGCTGTTCTAATTATTCGAAACACTATATACGAGAACGAGGAAATTATATTTATCCCAACGTTAACATATTTAATCAGAAAACGAATAAGCACATGTCGACCAGAACGCAACCTGAATGGCGTGTGCCAGTAAATTCTAATCCACCACCAACTCTGAAACTGTACAATTCTCTTACGAGGAGTAAGGTAAATTTTGAGTGGGATAACATATGAATCAGTGTTCATTGACGAATTGATTAAATTTGACGACTGATTTGCGGTATCTTATTGCGCATTATAGGTTGAATTTACACCTGTGAAGGGGAAACAAGTTACTTGGTATAACTGCGGCCCTACCGTCTATGATGCTTCCCACGTTGGTCATGCAAGGTAGAGGGAGAAAAGAGAGAAATGAGACTGTGTCAACAAACGTATATTGACTGTGATTCATCTGATATCGTAGATTATATGTGACCGTAGATATCTTGCGCAGAGTGTTGACTGATTACTTTAACTATGACGTCTTGTTTGTAATGAACATAACAGACATTGATGATAAGGTGAGCAATAACCATGTCCGAATGCTTTTGTAAATCGCTCATGTGCATGTAATAATCTAATTCGTTTTACAATAGATTATCGTTCGAGCACGTCATAATCTCTTGTTTGAAGAATTTAAATCGTCGATAACATCTTTAACGAGAGATCTTATAACGCAAATAAAAAAAGCACTACAATTCTATACTAAAAACGTGCTCAAAGTAGGAAGCAACAGCGACGAGAATGATCCCAAATATTTGATGCATACGAAAGCCTTTGTAAGTTGTCTACCAAAATTTTGGGTTTCTGGCCAAGATGTGCACTCAGTTTTTTTTCTTTACCATTAGCATGCCGCGTTAGAAGCAAGTGCCGAAGCGGATGTTGCTCTTGATGTCGGTGATGATAGTAAAGAAGCAGCATTGAAGTTACTGACGGGAGCTCAGGATGTTCTTACTGCCTGGTTAGACGATCAAGTGAGTATTGCTTGTCGTTTTTTTTTTTTTCAACTGGAAAACGTATCACTCATCGATCGGAGGTTCTGAAATTTTAATGGTCGCTACTAGAAAGGTGCTTCGGTAACGGATCCACGCTTATTCCGAGACCTTGCTGCTCATTGGGAGAAGGAATTTATGAAGGACATGGAAACACTAAACGTTAGTTATTTATGCGTTTACTAGATGATACGTTTTATTTATCATCTATATTTATAATAATCTTCTTCACGGTATTTATCTACCGTTCAACGATTTATTGTTAACCAAATTCTGCTCACATTAGGTTCGTCCATGCGACATAATAACACGTGTAAGTGAATATATTCCGGAAATTACTACCTTTGTGCAGAAAATCATGGATAATGGCTACGCTTACACCGCCGACGGATCAGTCTACTTTGATACTGCCTCATTTGATGGTAAGAAAGGGCATCACTATGCCAAACTCCAACCATGGTCGGCAGGCAATCTAGGATTGCTTGAAGAGGGTGAAGGCAGCCTTGGAAGTAAATTGGCAGGAAAGAAGAATCCGAGTGACTTTGCCCTGTGGAAGAAGAGTAAGCCTGGTGAGCCTGCTTGGCAGTCAACCTGGGGACCTGTAAGTTGGGAAGAGGTTCGGGAATCAGTGTGAGAGAAGCGATGAGAGATCGGGTAGGTTCATTATAGCTATTCTGTTTTTAGGGCCGTCCTGGTTGGCATATTGAATGTTCGGTCATGGCAAGGTATAGCATGAGGTCGTTTGAATGCATTAGGTTTCAAGAACCAGAGTCTAACTGTCGGTTTATGAGTCTAGCGAAGTACTTGGAAGTACGCTTGATATCCATTCTGGTGGCATTGATCTGGCGTTTCCTCATCATGACAACGAGATAGCCCAGTCTGAGGTGAAGTATCTTGAGTTTAACGAAACAGATTCGACTTACAGCATGTAATATTAACTTATATTTGTTTGCAGGCTTATCACGGCAGCCATCAATGGGTTAACTACTTTCTTCATCCAGGCCATTTGCACGTAGAAGGACAGAAGATGAGCAAATCTTTAAAGAATTTTATCTCAGTTAGGGTATATATAATCATTGACTATAAAGGGTTTAGGTTGCGCGCGGGTGCATATAATGCTCAAATATTCCATCTATATTTTTGCCAGGATGCTCTTAATAAATACACGCCTCGCCAAATACGTATGTGTTTCCTTCTCCACCAATGGGACTCGAAATTGGATTTCAAAGAATCAACAATGCTCGAAGCAAGAAGCACTGAAATTACCATTAATGTGCGGTTTTCAATTATATTGGGTTGCTTGTCGGTGTTACTAGTCGAGTTTTAACTAATTTATTACATTATCGATCGATTTTCTAGAATTTCTTTATGAAAGTAAAAGCTCTCATAAACGAAAACAAAGGAGAAGCACACGTGTCTGACGGTAAACATCGATACAGACACGGAGAAAAAGACTTGATTAAAGTGTAAGAAAAACGTCTTTGGATATTACGTATGATATTTTGTTGTTTTTTCCTCATTTGCGTTTGCTCTTGAAATTTATCAGCTTACGCGAGAAGCAAGCGGCCGTCCACAATGCACTCTGTGACTCAATAAATACGCCAGCGGCAATGAATGAAATACTTGAACTTATCAACAAAACCAACATTTATCTCTCAGCTGGCCGGAGCGGAATCAACATCAACATAATCGAAAAAGTAGCGGCATATATTACAAAAATGCTTGCAATTTTTGGTCTTGTTGACACTCAAAAAGAATTGGGATTCGGCTCATCAGATCAGTCAGCTACAAATAAAGAAGAGACGCTACTGCCTTATCTGCGCGCGTTATCAGAATTTCGTGATGATATTCGGGACTTGTCTCGACAAAATAAACCTCATTCAGAAATTCTTGCTCTTTGCGATAGACTGAGAGATGTAGAGTTGGTAGAGCTGGGTGTAGCACTTGAAGATCAGGATGACGGAAAAGCATTGGTCAAATTGGCTGATAAAGAAGAGTTGATAAAATTGAGAGATGAGAAGATGAAGGCTCAGGCTGAAAAGACAGCACGGAAGGATGCATTAGCAAAAGCAAAGGAGGCAGAGAGATTGGCTGCTTTGGAGAAAGGAAAAGTAGCACCTATAGACATGTTTAAAGAGGCCAAAGACGATAATGGCGAGTTGTTGTATTCGGCATTTGATGAGCAGGTGAGTTGACTATGAATACAGTAATTTATTAGCGAATTTAACTTAATCAAACTATAAATAGGGAATTCCGACACATAATGCCGATGGAACTGAAGTGTCCAACAGTAAAATTAAGAAACTAAAGAAAGAATGGGAAAAGCAGCAGAAATTACATACTAATTATTTAGAATGGAAGAAAACGGATAATTCTTGATGCTTAGAATCTCTTTGTACAAGTGATTTTTATACGGACGTGTTATTTCCAAATAAATTTAATTTGCGGTATATCGCCAAGCAGCTTGTCAAGATTTTCTCTACTGTATCCTTCGGATGTGCATATGTCGTCGTAATGATGACGACCGTTTAATAGTCTGGAGATAGACAATTACAGGAATTGGTAAGATACTTGTAGCAAAGTCTAGGATTTGATATATCAATAAACTTGCGATCGCTTACTTTTTTAGATGTGGATCCAACTTGCATGAGCTTGCTGCAGACGCTGGGAGCACTGGATATTTATGTATGCGTTGAAGGAAGCCTTTCGTGACACCAAAGGCAATGAATCGCCTATGTATTATTTGAAAAGAGCTTAGTCGAATGATGTAACAACGTAATCGTTACGTTACTCGCTCGCTCGCCAATTACCTCGTATCGATGTTAAGCGAATTTACTTTATTCTCTTCTACCCACATCTTTATTGTGACATCGCGTTTCAGTGAACAATAAAGAGAAAATATTTTTGAGAAAGGTGGGGCAGTCGCACCTAAATAATATATGTTGGTTAAAACACTATATCCAATCGAATTTAGAAATGTAACAAGAGGTATACTCAACCTGGTTTTGTCACATATGAAATGCATTCTGCCTGAATTGTTTCATCTTCTATTATCCTCATGATTTCCGGTCTTATCGCATATATATTAGAAAACTATGGAAATAGAGGTCAGAAGAAGCCGAACAGGAAATGATAATGTAAATGGATAAACATGAAACATAATTACCTGGAAAATATCAATCATAATAATACAACCATAATACCTGAATATATCACATGAATTAGAAATGAAACAAAATAATGCAGAAACCACTGTACATCAACTCAATCTTACAGTATATGCTCCATGCATTCTCTGGCGAGTTTACAATCAACATCAGCTATTTCAGCTATTTTCTTTACGTGAAGAACACCATTTATGTGCGCTACAACCTAAAAAAAAGGCGTGCAAATTATACTCAATAAACAATTGCGATATATGATAATCCTCTTTTCTGCATTGTTCTAACCTTCTTTACTGTAATGTCCCAATTCATGTCAATCAGGGTATTGAGATCGACTGTACAAATCGGCACTTGGTAATCATAAACGGGTTGGGGATTGGGATACGTCGGGAATAACTTCAAGTTGAGGGCGTTTGTTTCATCTAATGATAAATTGAGGTGAGCATGCATATTGACCCGACACAATCATACATGTATGAAACTTGCGTAACTTATTGGAATTTGACATTCGCAGTAATTATTAAGATCTTCAAGCAATTGTTCAATTATGTTATAGACAGTGGAACGTGTCTCCAGTTTCCAAAGAAACTCGCTCTCTACCTGTTCGGTTTAAAGAAGGAAAAAACGCGTAAAATACCGTGCTTGGAGATCATACAATTTATGATTTACATATAACTGAACAGGGTTTTTTATTTACTCTTTGATCTTGTGTTCTCCAAAACTCACCTCAAGTGAAGTCAGAACACGGGCAATCTTTCTAGCGACTGGTTCATAACTCGACGTATCCGCACCATGATCAAATACAAGACTCAGGTTAAAAATTAAAATGCCCCGAGGATATTTCTTATTTCTAATCAGGACCGGTACACCCATGACTTTATATGAACCGGTACAAATAGAGACTAAATGTCCACACAAGTCCGGCTTGGGAATTATATATTCACTTATGGAAGAGAAGTTAATTAGCGGTGTGGAGTTGGGTAAGGATTTTATTGAGCCTTCGGGTACTTCGTAGAGGAGACTTCGTCCCAAATCATCGTCAAACATTGTAAAGAAGACTGAAACTAAACGAGGTGGTGTACTGACTCGATAGTCGGCACCTATGCGAATATAGTCAGACATTGGAGCAAGAGAGAAAGAGGAATTAGAATGGAAGGAGCGGAGATTGTAAAGGATTATTGTAATTGGTTGATCCCATCATCGATCTTGATATGGCAGCATTTATGAGATTTTGTGTTACAACTGGTCGGATGATTTTCCGGAACGGAAGGCTTACAACGTGCAGGGAAGAAAGAAGCAGGTTGATTCTCCAAGATAACATCATCTGCAGTCTATTTTTATATAGTTTGCGATCAATTAGGAGAACTCGCAAAAAATTTTTTCGAAAATCTTATTCCTAGTGCGTCTTTATTGTATGATCTCTGAAACCAAACTAACAAAGTGACTGAAAAATAAAAAAAAACAAACAAAACAAAAAAACCCAACAACTTTGATCTGTAGTTTATTGGCTGAGATTAAGATAACTTGTTTTACTTGAACGTTTTTATACAAATGACGACGTATTTTATATAGGTTATTTCTATATACAAAAGAATTTACATCAAATCCGTCATGAAACCAAAGAAGTACAGTACTATCAGAAGCATTCTAGGAAAAGAATGCTTTAATGTTTTTAAAAATCAATGATACCCAAACTCTCTATAAATAAGCCGATAAAGATTATTAACACCAACTTATAATGAAACAAAAACTTGAAGCAATATAACAATAAGAAAAATACGTTCAACAATTATCCTAATCGCAGCCTATGTTGAAAGACAAGTTTCTGAGAAAAATAATTGATATATATTTTTTATTAATGCGTTGGTTTTGCACCGTTTAAAAACCATCGTTAACGTAAATGACTCATAAGTGTCTAAACTAATCTCTATGTCAATTTCTTAAGATATATCTCGAAAGATCGGCGTTGAAAAAACCAGAACCTTTCTACTCTCTTATCTCGAAATAAATATTTTTCTGAACGTTTTCTTTCTTTTTTAAAAAATAATAATAAAAAACTAAAATTTATTTGTTCTTTGATAATACGGCCGCGAGTCAAGATGATATTGCTTAACGACGTGAAAAAAAAACGCGTTTATTTACGGTTACTGTCATATCGTCTAATTATAAAATGACTTTTAGCTTGCGTCTGACGGTCCTCCTGTGACTTTTACATCCTATGACGTATGCGAATTATGGCTTTCTTGAAAATATCACTAAAACTTAAACCACACTATAGAACGTTACGACTTAATATTAAATTGAATGAAATTTTAAGCATTAGTGTTATCACGTGGACGAATTTTATTAAAATATTGGTCATACTATTACTGTATGGCACAGATATCGAATTCTTTTGTCGGAATGATGGACAGTCGGTGATTTTTGAGTCGGGGAACGCTCACATGACACCCTACTCTTTTGTTAAGGAAACAAATCACATCTGCACAACATAATCCACAAAGCGCAGCATCAGACTCCCAATTGAACCTCTCCGCAGTGGTCTCAGAAAGATGGAGAATCTGACACCAAACACAATGGCCATCTATGCCTCCCCCCTTCCTACCCTGCGCAATATCCTCCGACCACAGGCCCAACACAGTAATCATCTCCAGTGTTGGCCATATGAAATTTTCCACAGACACCGATATCTGGCTAGCCACATGGGATAGGCTACCTATTGGCCAACCATTGCTACCATTCACCAGACAATACACAACGCCTGGTGCCCAGACGTTGAACACTCCACTATCCACCTCCACCAATGCCATATTGCAAAATCAGTGTGGGACACATTTATATATGGGAATATTATGAGCTGTACGACCTGGCAGGTAAATTCCCGGTTATAATTCACATGACATGATATATGCAGATGACACACTCGCAACCCCCACCACACATACCAAACCCCTACACTCACTCCACACAATCCCGCCTAACTCCGCTCCCTCCAGTCCACAGCCATACTCACTCCTTCACTTCAAGGGCCTTCGGACACAATCCCACGAAGACATTCTGAACCAACTCCTAGCACGTATCCTTTTTTTCCGTTCTACCGATATACAAATAGATCCACAAACCTCCTGGACTCACCCCAACAAAATACAATCAATCATTCAAACATCTAAAAATAGATACGATCCTCAATAGCCCTCTTCCTCTGCATGTAGATAAATAAAATACTTTAGCGAGCACCTTGTGAATAAAAGTTCCTCGCGATAGTTAAGAAACAAATAGTCTACGTGTTATTTGAAGAGCACATATTAGAAGAAGAGCACGTATTAGTATTAGAGCATATATGGTTACAGTCTCCTTGCTTCCTTCAGAAGTCTTATCGATTTGAAGATTATACGTTAATACTATTGTAAAACTGATCGACAAAAAAAAGCTCCATATGTAAATATTATAAACCACTGATATCAGACCCCCAATCATTGATATCATACTGTATGTTGTGGAAATAACCAACTGAAACCCGGAGATATCGACTCCGGAGAAGATTTAACTGATAAAATGTCTAAATAATTGAAATCCATCTTCTCACAAACACTATTTGGCGTTCTACCGAAGAAGACGTACACACTCACTATTAGATGGATTATAAACGCGTCAAGTATTTGCAGTATGTACAGACTTTTATAAACACAAAAAGATCGGTCTGTACTGCGAAATATAAAATGCATTTAGGCTATTGTATTCAAATAACTTGAGAGTTTCGGTATTTACTTCCGAGACGCATTATCTCTAATAGAATTTGCCGTATTTGGTAAAATTTATAGAGTCGCACGAGACCCTGAAACAAGGGGAGCATGTGGTCATGATAACAATAATAACGATAACGATAATGGTCTTTATTTACTCAAATTTGGTAAAATAATGGGCCGCAATTAGATGCGATTGGGTCATATCTCAACAATCAGCTGACCAACGCTGCGCAACGTCTCGAGAATAAAAAGAAAGAATTTATTCATTTTGCGAGAAACAGTTTTTCTAAACCGTTTACAAAACGACTGAAAAAAAAAATGAGCCCACAATACTACGTATGTCAATTCAAAGACGGCGAAGCCGTAGCGTCAGAAAAAATTGCCAAGGTCGATGACCTTGTTAGCAATGACGCTCATATTACCACAGAGGTAGCTCCTCGAGTAAGTATTTTCGTGAAAGAATTACAATAAGAGTCTACGAATATTAGAATGTATCTTGTTCATGCTGAGTAATTATTTCTAAGTTGTGTTTATTCTATTACTATTGTAGAGCATGTGTAGGGACACACATAACGCCATGGTGAAGTTTATGGCGGAGGAGTTACGGTCCCGTGCATTGTTGACTTTCTGTCCAATGCACAAAATTTTATTCTTTTAAAATTATTTATTGTTATTGCGCATCGTCATTGATGCGCAAAAAATTATTATTGCGTGCGCATCGTTCTTTGATGCGCAAAAAATTATTGTTGCGCATCGTTTTTATTCTTTTGATGCGCAAAAAATTATTATGTCCGTGTTTTTATTTATTCTTTCATGTTTTAATTTATCAAATTTTTTAAGATTAAAGTTTTTTTCTTGAAAAATAATGCCATAACGATAATGTTAACTTTACTAGTGCATGTAACTTTTATGTACGAAAGCATTAATTTAATAAAATTATTATTATTATGAATATATGACATTGGATTTTTGGTAGTTGAGTTAATTGTTGATCGATTTCGCATCTTCGAAAAATCAAGCCAATCTCTATAGTCAAATTCAAGACATAATTAATATTCTGACTAATCTTCATACATTGACGACAGCTATGCTTAACTGCGCGAATTTATGAGACTCTTGGTTGCCGATTTAGGGTTTCTAGCGATGAAGAGAGAAGATTGACTTTGCGTTTTCGGAAAACCAAGCTGATCGTTATATGTAAACTCAAAGTCATACTTAATATTCCGTGTCAAGCTTTGGCACACACTTTGTCAACAGTTACGCTTAACATGCATGTAAATATTATAAGCATCGGATTCTTGGAATTGGAAGACCAAGATCAATGTCTGACCGAAGCGTCCGGTACCTAGCGCAAATAACTGCTGATGAACTTGTTCAAATGGACGAGCAGTTAAACATTTCTGCTAGTCAAAGAACGGTTCGAAGTCATTTGTATGAAGCTGGTTTCCACAGACGTGTTGGAAAGAGAAACCCTTTATTTCTGAGCAGAATCGCAAAACCGCTTTCATGGTGTAAAGAACGAAGGATATGGGATGACGAATGGAAAACCGCAACTAGCCGTTTGATAAAAAATCGAGTCTTACATTAGAAGCCTTGAGAACATCTGCAAACAAGCCAGATTTCTGTGCCCGTCTGAAGGTGGAGCATCATGAATATATTGAATTGGTTTTTGGAAAGTTTTCGCAGCTAGATGCACCACCACAGAAGCATTGTGATGACTGGAATAAGTTGGTCCGCTCTGGCAAGGATAGCATCGACATGCTTCGTGATGTTTGTTTTCATCAGGTAGACATTGATGAGGCAGATAGTATAGCCTTTAATATCAGGCGGATAGTACGGCGTTTAGTATAAGCCTGTGCAGGTCGACAGGAAATAGAAGATATTATAAGAAAAGCACTTCGACTGAAAACCTGCATGGAAAACATTATGCGTAAAGTGGAAAAAGCGCTGACTGAAAGCACATCTCTACCGGTCAATGAAAGTAACGATGCATTAGAGAGAGCATGTCTATATAGCATCAACGACCGATTTCCACAAAAAAGACAATCACATAACTGATGGGGTGGGGTCTACCTGAAATTCTATCTGCCTATTTTCCTTAATGCTTACTTTTATTGAATATCAGAACGATCATGTAAATAAAGTATATTAATATCAAAACACAAATCGTATGCTCCAGTAATAGTAAACCTACATTTCAATCGTCATCTACAAAAAGTAACATTAGTGTATAAACGACTATGATTCTTTATTATTATCCAATCGATCACGAAATCAATAATACCAGCGATGCATACACACATTATCCTTCTCTCTATCAGACGTACTAATACGCCTCCACACATCATTTCTGTCTGCTATAATCCAAAATCCAACGTGTCCGCATACATAAGATACCCCACATCTCCTTACTCCCCTCACGCAATTACTCTTCTCTACGCATAATATAATTAGCCCCAGACATCCTGCTGAAATATGGATCGTGAATCTACAGTATGCTGAGAACTCTAACGTAGCTTGCCTTCGAATCGGGGAAAGCGTAAAAACACCTTGACTACATTATACACTGCATTTGACCTGCCCGATTATACATACCAAGTAATTCAGCTCCTATTCCGTTGGTAATTAGTAATCGAATGCTGATATTAATACGCCTGGTATTACTGATTGTCAGGCTCATGCGCCAGACACACGTAGAAACGTAGATGCATTAACATTACTTTTTGCTGTTATCCTTTGTTAAAAGCTAGTTTTGCGAAGACTGCTAAAGTATTAGGTCAGTAAAGCAAACATAAACTAGAGAATATCGGAATTGCGATTTCGGGGTAACGACACTTTATTACAGGAGTTAAAATATTCCACCTTTAAGAGAAGACAATGCTATGCAGTGTGATAGAGCAACTTTTGTATGTAACTTGTCAAGGAGCGAAAATAAGAATTTCATATACAATAACTCTACTATCGCGAACCCCTGTACTGGACTGATAACTACTGATACCAGACCCCCGCAATAATGATATTGCCTATATTTGTGTTTGAATGTAAAGGAGATCTTGATAATGGCACCTTGCCCACTGTAATGATTGTGGTCGAGCTATTACTATGGAGAAACAGGGTAAAGTTGTGTGATTTGAGAAAGAAAAACCATTTCAGTAGCTGAGATAATGTGGCAAAGTTGTGTTGATAGATTGGTATAGCAATTAGACAGTGCCGAGGAAGAAATTTGGATGTCTTGGACGTTTCAAAGGACAAGAATTATTAGGTAAAATTCAAAGACTTGAAAAGCAGCAAACTCGGCATGTTGCTCAATTGAAATTCAAGAAAGTAAGAGATGACCTATTACCAGTATTAATGACCTCAATACTAAATTTATAAAATCATTTTACTATTTCTGGACCTGTTCTCGATTGCAGATTACGGAGATGTTTTTACGACTCCTCCGCAAATACTATACATCATGCTTCAAGCACCATTCCCAAAGCGTTATTTCAAGTCGCGTCTGGTTTGTGACACCAAACAATGATAATAATAAATACAATCGCGTGCGCATTCGAATATCTATTGCTGTCAATTCGACTTGGTTAACAAACGGCTCACACCTTTCCTATGGCACCCGATATCTTACAAACCGTCCTTAGCGCACTTTCAGACTGGAAAACGTGTGATGATGCTGTAACTAGTCAAATAAAAAACTTATTGCCCAACAATTCCTGCACAAAGAACGACAAAGCAACAAATTCGAAAAATTCCATAACAACCAAAGCCACTCGCAAGAGTAAAATTCCACGCAGGCGAGAAGGACTGACTCACCGCGTCAACTCAACATATTTACGCTATGCACAGCAAATAGTCAACCAGAGCTTGTCGACTCTCTCAAAGGTGTACAAAGAACAAACAGACAATCATAGTAATAGTGATGTGATAAGAACAAGTGTCAACTGCTTAGTTGAGGTTACATTGTACTGTATTCAAGTTTTGGAAGGATTAGAAAAAGCAAAAGTTAGCTGTAAGCCATTAGACATTGAAAAGGCATATTCGAATATTATCGCTAAAATGATCAACTTTAAGATGGTTAGTAAATTTTGCCGATCAAAGATCGAGTAAATTAAATGTCAACGACACATATCCAATAACACGTCATTTTTTCTCTCTCTTAATAAATGCAAGCATCAACGAGCCGTCTCACAGTTGCTCTACCTACGCCGTCGTCTCTTACCTCGTTGTAAGCCTCCTCTGCGGTCCGAATGCGTGCAACATACTTTACAAGAAATTAAATCCATCAAACCAGACTCGGAAGAAATTCTTGATTTCGTCGTCTCATGTGTCGAAGCGTGTTGGTACCCATGCGAGGATGAAATGCATGTTATGGAGTTGACGAAGCCGGTTGAAATGCATGATATGGAGGTGATGAAGCTGGTTCTTGCATGTCACATAAATTGTTTGAGGTGTTTGACTGGATATAAAAATGGATTGGGAATTACGGTGAGTGGTGGGTTCGAGCGACGTTTTAGATGTATTTCTGTTTGGAAGCGAGATAAATGTATATACAAATGGTTTTTTTTTATAGTACTTGATGAGGATACCGCAGCTACGCGAGATTATTGTTGGTTGGTGCAGAAAAGCAGGTAGGGTTGACGCATCTGTTGCAACGACACAGTCAGATGCCTTATTGAGAGTGCTCACCATGGCCTGTAATAGTCTTAAAACATTACCTGGTGAGTATATCAACTGATTTTACAGTTGGGGTAATCATAGTCTAAATATTAACTCCACGTGTTGAAGACGACAATTCAGAGAGAATATTACATCTGCGATCGTTCTCGTTGCAAATATTTGTTACAACCGACCGATTCACTTTGGCTTCGCTCCTGGACCTGGCACTGAAATCCGTAATCCAGTTCGAAAAGACTTGTAAAAACGGTAAATACTATCAATTTGACATATTACTATGAGCTTGTGTACCGACGAAAATATTGATCTTCTGTATTTTTTTCGTAAAGACATTAACGTCATGTACAAGAAATTGCTTTCGTTCCATGATGAGATTGCGTGTCTAATTAAACGATATTTGGATGAACTTACGATCGAGTGTCGGACTTATATTGAATGGATAGATCATTACGCGTACGTTGCGCAAAAGGTTAGAATATATCTTATTATTATCTTTGCTATTCGATCGCTTCATTCTGGCACAATTTTAATGAACATACCATTCAAAAGGCTAACGACTACAAGAAAGCGATAGACATATATACAGAGGCTCTACTCTCGATCCCACCCACATTAATAGCTCAATTTTCCACTCTGGCTTCCTCCCATTCGATCTTATCTTCCTCCCTCATCGCGCCCATTATTCCAAAATTAATCGAACGTTTTGTGAAAGTAACATATCTCGATTGTCCAGAAGGAAATTTTACTCCGATAATGGAGCTGTTGCTTAATAAAAAATCAGAGAGCGAGAAGGATGTAGTCGCGTTGATGGAGTATGCGGTGAGAGTTATCAGGATCGTTGGACAATTCGAGCGGGAGATTTGTGTGAGAAGAATGGTCGAAAGCATATTAGATATTTATGAAAAGGAAGAATATCCGATCAGACACGCGAGGTGAGGTTTGCAGTCACTTACGAGGGGGGTAGTCGTGCACCGATTTTAATTACCTGTCTATATTGATTTTTGTGCTTTCCGTGTCGGAAAAATCAGAGTCTTGATAGAAAAAGCGAAATTAATGAGGTGCAGCCCACTTATTGAAGACCGTGATAAAGTTATAAATACGTTGAATTCCGCCACAGAATTACTCAAAACCGAAGTATATTATCGAACTGGAATTAGACTTTATATAATCCCTATTTCCAACTAAGTCTTTTTTTTTTGTCCCCTTATAGGATTTCAAAAATGACGTCGGCCTCTCAAGATTACGCAATCACTATCTAGCGACGGCGTATTCCTGGGTTGCTATCACCTCTCAAGAACTCGGACAGCCAAACGCAGACTCATTCAAGCTTGCGTTGGCTTTGTGGAAAATTATTTTAGCTGACGTACCCCCGCGCGGTAATGAGGGGACTGTGTCTGAGGAGAAACTGAAGGAAGTGAGGGAATGCCTGGATGATGTTGAGGGATGTTACAAGCATCTTCGTATCCTTTATTGGTGGGGTAGATGGGAGTGTATGCGCGAGGCGTTGTACACGCGAGACGAGTGATGAGTCGAGTTTACAGGCGTTCTCCCTTAACCATTCTTTGTGCGCTTCTTAAGAGATGTTGGCGGACTTTTTAGAGTCAGTACAACAACCTGTTAATTTGATCTTGACGTTAAAGTTGCTATTGAGGTTTAACAATGGCGTCCGAGAAAATGTCGACGAGTCGTTGTCAGGTAATATGGCCATCAATTATGTTTCTGGTCAGCATGTCGTATTATATTAGTTTCAAACAATTCTCTCACTGCTTTACGCTCTCCCCGTCTACTCCATCTACAGACAGTGTGGGTATTTTCAACCAGCTTGGTCAAACGTATTTACAGCTTGGGTATACGGGAAAGGCTGGCTTATCCTGGTCTCAGGCAAAGATGATTATGGAAAGTGCATACTGTCAAACCGACAATCGCTTATTGTGGATGCTGGGTTATTGTCGATACATGAGCTCGATTGGTCATGTGGACAAAAGGTTAAAATGACTGTTTATCACATGCTTCTCCAGCAATGATACTGTATTTGAAAATCCATATGAAAAATTTTGTATTAAAGCTTACAGTTTATTAATCTTCAAAAGTCGTAATGTGTTTAATGAGGCGAGGCAACTTGCAATCGCTCGTCTTGAGAGTAAGGACAAAACAAATATGGATAAGGTGGCTAAGCGGATGAGATACGAGCAATTGTTACTAGCTGATGCTGCTTGGACGCGATCGTGTATTCTGCTGGGACGTGTAAGTGTAACAAAATCTTGCAGAAACATCGATTGGTCGAGAATTCACTCGTATTGTCGCGTTCGAATAGGGTTTGTTGAATGAAGCTATTATTGATGGGAAAAGGACCCTGCGCATTCTTAATAGGCTGTTATCAAATATTGATAGAACTGGTCGAATTCGATGTAAAGATCCAGTCGAGTCTAATCCGTTTCTAGTCAGTAGCGACTCTGATGGGAAGAATCGAGTCGAAGAAGAAGAATCGGTATTGACTTTGGCAGCACAACGATGGAAATTGCGCGTAACAAAAGTAATTTGATTCTAATTACCTTGCATGGGCGTGTTTATGTTTGTATATTCTAACGGAGAAATGCAAATGTTGCAGAGACTGCTCGAATGTTATGATCGATTGGGACAGCTTTTTGGCTTACGCGGTTCAATCAAAGAGGCGGAATTTTTTTTTAACAAGGGGCTACAGCTCGCCCAGTCCAACAACGCACATAGTGCGATGAGCTCTTTTCTGTTGAATATTGCTGAATTACAATACCGGAAACATTGTTGGAAAGAGAGCAATGATTTATTGAACGAGGTTGCTTTGATGCAGAGACAGGCTTGTATTATAAAACGGGAAGAAGTCAAAATAAATTTATGTTTGGGAGATCTCAAGTATAGATTACAAGACTATGATCAAGCATTGCGATCTTATTATGCGGCCGAGGACATTTTAGCAAACATAATGGGGAAAGAATATATAATGAATATCGAGAGTGATGATTTGGGGTAAGTTTTTTTATAGACTGAGATTCGTGTTTTGATTGATAGAAGACTAACAGTTGATTTTTTATAGCGACAATGTACTTCAAACCCCAAGGGCTAAACAGCTACTAACTATCCCAGCATCGAGAACACCTGTAGTGAAGACTTCTGCTGACAGTATGCGTTATTCGAAATTGTTTAACCGTTCATAATGATCGAAACTCTTACATTGATTAAATACACAATCAAACTAATTTCTATTTAATCCATAGGTACTGTCCAGTTTGAATGTTTCTTGCTTGCTTATATGAAAGCCAATCTTTTACGGCGCGCTGGGCTGGTGATGAGCAAAAAAGGAAAGATAGAAGACGCATCGGAATTTCTCAAAAACGCGTTTGTTTTTAACATATCTATGCTGGAGAAGGTATTTTCCTTATGGCTATTGAAATGAGAAGCTTTTACTTATCGGGTCAATTTACTAGAAAATTCACCGGGTTCATCTAAAGACAGATTTGCATTGACAATATTTTTGTTAACAAAATAGGCTGAACATCTTCTTATACTTGGCAAAATAGAAATAATGAGAATTGTTAAACAATTAGAACAACCATTTTTAACGTATCAGATGCTATGTGATTCTGGTATGATTTGAGACTCGTTATCGTAATGCAAACATCTGCTACGTGTTTTAAATATTATTAATACTTGCTATTGTTAATAGTTCTCTGTCTGCCACCCATAATGAACGTTGGAGGCGCAAAATCCAATCATAGAGAACGTAAACATGCCAACACTAAAGTCACTGCTGACGCAATACAGAAAGTCAAACAAGCCGATGAATATCTGATAGAAGCTTACAAACTTGCATTTGCTTGTGGTCCTACTTATCTTGCTCACGATGCATCGTTAGCGATTGCAATGCTGAACATTATAAAAGTATATGGACATATTATTAAGCGTACAGAATGTACTGATATTACCGAGGCGTGTACTTATTATCTGGGTGAGTGAGTGAGTACTAGACGTATTGACCTACATTCCCACGTTATTTACTCTTACGCATCTCTTTAGAAATGACGAAAGGAGTTGCAGCCAAGAGGGAGATGCTTGCCGCGTTAAACGAGAAGCTCTCTCCCGAATATCTGCAAGACGACACACAATGGCCGGGTGCGATATCAGACGCCACGTCGATCACAAGTCCCCAAACTCTCATGATGGATTCGTCGTTACTCGATGAGGATACTAAATCAAGACGGGACTATCTGACTCGGTTACAATCATTATACAAAAAAGAACTGACAGCACGCCCCGGGGAATTCTCACCGACTTTTGTTGATAACCTCCCATCCAATTGGACAGTCTGTTCGATATCTATCGATACAGATGCAAATGACATGTATTTATGTCGTCTACGTAGACAAACAAAACCGTTTATTCTGAGATTGCCACTAAAAAGAGTATCATCTGAGCGTGGAGAGGATGACGGGTTGTCCTACGAAGAAGTTATTACTGAATTCAACGATATATTGACCAAGAGTGCTCAAACTATGGGGAAGACATGCGAGACCAAAGAAGCGAAATATCAATGGTGGGAAGATAGGAAGGAATTGGATATGCGTATGAGGAATCTACTTGAGAATATAGAAAACTGTTGGCTGGGCGGATTCAAGGTAGCCGTAACTACCAAGAGACAATATTAAGCAATCGTGCATGTTTTTTGTGTATTCATCATTGTTATTTGTAAGTAGGGCATGTTGATTGCAGACAGTTGCGAAGATCCAAAGGCAGTGTATGAACTTAAAGGCAAACTAGAAGCGTTAATGGCTGAGGCGTTGGAAGATATTCTTAATAAGAAGGATAGTAATAAGGACTCGGCGCGATTAGATATACTTCCAGAATTATGCAAGGTTATTGGTCGTTTAAGGGAAGAATCAGACATCGAGGACGTTATATATTTTCTACTAGATTTATATCAGTACAATGATATACCGATAGCCTATGATGAGATTGATGTTGATAAGGTAATTTACATACAATGTTTTTGTTACTGGGCATAGTCATCATTTTATTTATTATCCTTGGATCAACAAGCTTATTATAGACATCGGGGATGCTATATCGAAGTATAACAATTCAGTTTTATCAACTGATCCCTCATATCCAAAGAATGATCAACATGTCATTCTAATACTTGACAAGAACGTCCAGATGCTTCCGTGGGAGAGCTTACCTTGTTTACGATCGCAAGCGGTATCACGGTTACCATCGCTATCGTTCCTAAGAGATAGAATTGTGCTGAGGGAGCATGCTAATAAACATTACGCCAAGGGAACATCCGAAGACTATACCGTAGACAGAAATAAGACATATTATGTGGTCAATCCGAGTAAAGATCTTTCAAATACTCAAAACGAATTCGAAGATTATTTAAAAAGGTGAGACAAACTGTTTAGCAAACTTGTAACATGTACGTGATTTGACGAGCTGTCTTGTTTAGTTTTCCTGAGTGGGATGGAGTAATCGGGCGGCCACCACTAGAACAAGAATGTAGAAATGGACTTGCCAATTATGATCTTTACATGTACGTATATAAATATTATAATACGTTTGTAACATGCCTAAAGCATATGCCCTGACAATAATCTTTTTATTCTTTAGATACTTTGGACACAACAGCGGTGAACAATACATTAGTAGCCACCGCATACGTCAACTCGACCGATGTGCAGTGTCACTATTGATAGGATGTAGTAGCGGTCATCTGCAGCCAGCGGGAGAGTTTGACCCATCGGGCGTAGCTCTTAGCTATATGATGGCTGGATGGTACGTGTATACGTGTGCTTTATGTTTACATCAATCCAATTTAAAATACTGACGTTAAAACGTAATACAGTCCTGCGCTGGTGGCTAATCTGTGGGATGTGACCGATAAAGACATTGATAGATTTAGCAAGGCCCTGTTTAGAGAGTGGGGTATCTCGCGTGATAACAATGAAAGAGATAATGGCTCGTGTATTTCACTTGTGCAAGCAGTTAGTAAGGCGAGAAAAGATTGTTTATTAGAGTATTTAATCGGAGCAGCACCCGTTGTATATGGAATACCATGTTATTTGAAATAGAATCATGACGGAAACTATGCCCATGTAGAGACATTATGCGCATTATGCGAGTCTTTATTAAAACATGTGCCTTATCATACATTACATTCAAGTTAATATAAAATCGACTGGTTGATCAGGATCATTGTCCTGTTGAAAGAAACCTCCACTTTCCCCCCAGCATTCTGTGAGATGTCTTTCTACTATTTAAATGTAGAGCTTACTATCCCATTATGCCTCGAAAACAAAATACTAGTCTTTCCTTTGATACAAAATCTTCAATTTCATCAGTAAAAATTGTCTTTTTCTAATTGTCGTTAAGGTGACGACGTGCCCACACGCAACACGGCTTTCTTTATAAGCCTTGCATTGGTGTTCTTCATGTTCTTATAGTTATTGTTGTGCGATGAAACTCCACGCCATTCTCAGCACGCCGACATTTTCTAATATAAACCTATAGCCACAGCTCTGTTCGGAAACCGCTTCCCATGTATCGATTGGCGATAGTTAAAAGACGTCTGTCTTCCAGCATCCACAGAGTTGTAGCACGTCTGGTAATTGTTGTAAAATCCGGCTTCTGACGTCTTGAAAACCCTGCCGCATAGTTTCTTTTATAAAATAAACCGGTCTAGATTTTTACCACAGGTAATTTAACATCTGGTCGACCGGCATCGATAATGGAAGCGGTGGGTTTGCGAGCTGTTGGCGTTCAGCCTCGCTAAGGTGGTTCTCGATAAAGTGTCGAATTGTTATGGTGCCAGCAGCGACTGACGTTATCTTTCTCAGATCTGTAAGCAATATAGTTGGGTGCCGCATCCGCTTGTAGCGAAGTGTGTTGCAGCATGTAGCACATGTGTGAGCAGGCGACCGTTAAAAACCTCAGCGGAGATAAAGTACCGATTGGCGATAGTTAAAAGAAATCCCTGACGTCTGTGTCTTCCAGCATCCATAGAGTTGCAGCACGTCTGGTAACTGTTGTAAAATCCGGCTTCTGACGTCTTGAAAACCCTGCCGCATAGTTTCTTTTATAAAACGAAATCGGTCTGGATTTTTACCACAGGGAATTTCAATAGCTGGTCGACCGGCATCGATAATGGAAGCGGCGGATTTGCGAGCTGTTGGCGTTCAGCCTCGCTAAGGTAATTATCGATGAAATTTCGGATAGTTATGGTGCCAGCACATCGACCGTCATGTTGATGGTCGTAATAACAATAATTATAATTTCGCCGTCGTTTCAGCGAATAACCACAAGCTTTGCATGCTGCATAGGTTATAGCCTGCAGAAAATAACAATATGCTGGTTGAGAGAGCGCGCCATCTTGAGTTTTGACCTTTGCCACTATCGCCATTGTGCATACGACAAAATGTGTGGTACGTTTCTTCTCGGGTGCATGGCGGTCAATCTATAAAATTAATGAATGTGCTGGTGTATTGGTATGAGGATATACGCTACGCGTTTATTAATCTCCCCTTGCTGCTGCGTGAGAGAGATGGAGAGGGAAAAAAAGGGGGGGGAGTGGTGGGTTTATAAGAAAATATCAGCATCTCGAAGCGCAAACACGGGGAAACCCACTTGTTGATGCTTTTTGCTTTGTTATGGACCTGACGGTAAACTGCTGAGACATCATCTAACCAGATATAAGATAAGTGACTATCGCGAGGAACTTTTATTCACAACAAGGGATATTAATATAAGATAATGATCGGCTCGGATTTATAGTCATGGGACATGTCCCGTGCAGGGTTCAATAGTCATGGGACATGTAAAGGGGATGGCTAAATCGGGGGCAAATACATGAAATCATCAAATTAATAATTAAGTTATTGACATTTAATATATATGAGTAAAATTTCATGCTGAACAATTTTACTTAGAAGTTAAAGGCTAGTTATCATAGTAAAATTTTGAGTTTTTTATGAATTTTCTTCTTTTTGGAACTTTATATGTTATACGTGATCTTGTAATTAGATTGGTTAACTTCGCAATCTTTGAAATTTAATTGGACTGATTTTTTGTGTTGCCCCCGCTTTAGACGACCCCCATGTAAAGTGGGGTTTTTTGCCGATCATTTGCCGATCATAATCAGTAAACTTCGAAGGAATAAAGCTGCGACCTCAAAACTTTTACAAAGTCAAAGTAGACAATTTTATTTTTTTAAGTTAACACATGTTTTATAAATTAATGGAAATTTATTTTATTTACATTACTAAAAAGTATTAAAAACCCAGTTTTAAAATATTTCTAATAAGCAAACTAACGTTTATGTCAATAAAAACGAACTGATGGGATCAAATATATCCTGTTATAATTTTATAGGCATACCTGTTCTCTATTGAAGTGAGTTTAAATTTGAAGTTATCGTATTTTGTTAATAGACGAATGATCAGCAAGCAAAGGCTTAATATTAATACGGAATCATAATAGTGTCGGTCACTATATGTTTAAGTCTTAGCCAACTTTATTAGAATTAGGCATTAATAGTAAACATACGAAAACGTCAAAAAATCAAAGAAATTTGATTCGGACCACACATTACTAGCACCGTTTTTTTTTGTAGCATTTTGTTTATTCCATATTATATTTGAGATTTATTCAACGTACACTAGACAGAACCGCAATAATACTAAAACAAAATACTTCATAATAATAATTGACTTTTATATTTTTAGGAATTATATAAGATTGTAATACAGCTTTTGCAGCCTCCTCTCCAAATTCCTTTATGTTGTTTTTTTTTTACTTTAATTTTTTTCTCACTAGTAGTAGTAGAAAACAAGTAAGCTGTATTCAAGCCTCTTGCAAAGCTATTTATATTGCCTGGTTAGGGTCAGTTTTATATCATACTTATTGAACATCCCTTCTAGTAATAATCGTCCTGAACACCAAATACTTAAAGACAAAGAAACAATTTTTAAAATATGCAATGGACTGAAGGGCAAGAGAAACTCTGGTGCTTTAACCTTTAAGGAAGACAAATGAGAGTTTTCTGATGTCAAAGAATGATTTTTCCAATAAAGGGGGCAAGTGGTCATGGTTGGTTGGCATTATTCGAGGAGACGTAAGAAAGTCAAGTTATAAAGCTCCGGCTAGAGTTTGTTGATATGTCTAATCACAAATGATGGATACTTTTGTGTTTTTCTAATCCATCTAGAACAAACCACGAAACAAGAATTTGCCACTTGAATGAAAAAATGAGATTCTATCAAAGTGCCTGTGTAAAAATTTTGATTATTGCTATACGGAATAATGAAGCTTCGCTTCTCGTAGTCGCACGCGCTATACGAACGTGTTATTTAATAAAAGGACAAGAATTGGCAAAAATCCAGAACTAAGACTCTCTGGGTAGAGTTACTGTTTCCCTTAATGTAGAAGAAAGAGGAAAGAGAATGGTTCAAGATTTCTCGATGTTGTCACATAAATTATGTAGTTATGGGATCAAGAGATTATTCTAATGTGACAATCCCGAAACATGTCAAACTTCAGAATATAAATAGGCACAACATTTTACTATTATACCATAATATTAAAATTGAGCGATAATAATAAATATACAGTATTCTAGAATAAATTCGTGTGACGTAAGCATAATAGACCGAACTTGTTTAAATTGTTATGTTTCCTTATGATAAACTTCATTGGTGTGGCTCATTCTACAAAGGATCGTTATCTTTGTTACCAATTGAGGTAAGAATTCTAAAGTTTCTCTTACACCACAGGTTGGTACTGTGTCATCATTTCGGGTAACCTTTACAATAACATTACTTTTATATATCACCATTAACAATGTCTGTCAATTACCTATAAATTAATGATAACAATCTATTGATCGTTGCCATGGTTACGCAATTATTTACTGAACATAGTCTCCTCTTGCGACTTGATTCCATTTACGATTAATGTACTATACACGGAGATCATTATCCATAATTAACATCGAATAGTAATAACAAAATCAATCGGATTTCTCGACTCACCTCTCCAAATGTAACGTCTTCAGTCCCATTCTTTGTTTGATCTTCAGTCTTGTCATGCTTCACGCTCTGATCCATCAACAAACTCAACCCAAGATTATTTTCCTGCCCGCTCGGAAGACACGTGTCATAATGAGGATAATAGAAAAATACCAATGAATATCTCTCTGACTCACCATCGCTCACCACGCGATGTAATGGAGAGACAACCGCTCCACCCGTCATTAGTGACAAATAATCGCCGCAGTTAACTATAAAGGAGCCTGGTTTAGGGGGAACATCCCACCATTGATTATCATAATAAATCTGAAGACCGCGAGGAGAGTCGGGTTGGAGCACGAGAGTTAGAAGACCCCAGTCTGAAAGTTAAGTAGCGGGTTCGAGGTTGAATTAGGGGAGATAAAATTATTATGTAAAAGAGGATTGTATGTTGAGAGGATCAACACGATAGCCAGCTCGGATGAGGGTCAGCAATAATAATAATACTTCTTGATCGCGTCTATGCTGTCCCGAGTATCCTTTACATTCTCTACTCACCCGTATGTGGTGAACTGCCAGTCATATTCCCGTCGTTCATATGAGGAAAATAATGAAATAATCTTATCATCGATATAGTTTCTCCGCTTTTGTCTGTTTGCTGTATATCTCTTCCAATTGCCATTTCCAACGCTTTAATGCAATCTTTTGTTATCTGCATCATTTTAGCATAATAGTCAATCAACACATTTTTCCATTTAACGCCTAGTATATCAACCAATTGTCCCCATTGATTATGTCCTTCCAACGAATTGGAGAATGGAGAAAGGACTGAGGGAGGGAGCTTGTTGTCGATAGTAGTGTAATTGACAAATGCGCTGCTGATTAGTTTGTGTATCTTTATCAATTTTTTTTTTTGCATTCTCATTACTCGGGTTATCACTTACGTCACATTTATCCCAATCATATCCATACGAAAATGCTTCTTTCATTTCCATTCTTTCGGATCCAGATTCTCCACCTATAGGAATATATCCTCTAACGAACCCTCCATTTCTGTAATACGCGCTTTCCTTAACTTCTTTAGGCAGGGAGAAGACTTCCTTCGTTGCACTAATAATCGCTCGTTCGTCAGATAACGTGAATGATGGAGCAGTAACGTAGAATGCCCCATAAGTCGACGCCGCAGTAGATAAAGAGTCGAGGAGAGTAGATTGTTTCGAAGATGAGAGTAGAGAAAGATCGATAGTAGGAAGAGTTATCGGGGCGTATTCTGTGGGTTTTGCATCCATTCTGTTAATTAGCAGAGGGATCAAGAGTGACACATGTGCTGCTGGACTGGGTTGTACTCGATGACGTACATATACATACACATCACATCAACAGCAGGTGGTAATGTAGTTACCTATAAGCAGCAAAGCAATCTTTGTCGCACGACATGTTATGTAGCAGCGGCGCTAAAATATGCCTCATCGTTTACGTTTATGAGATTTATTCAAGAATTCTTTCCTTCACCTCTAATAGGTAACTATCTATCTATATCCATATTAATATCCCATTCTTATATCTATATATTCTTGAAATGATCTTCAGGTAACGTGAATTAGACGTGTTTACCCAAATGTGTTAACACGACTGAGCTGTATTTTCAATCGTCTTTTCTCACACCCAGAAAGAACTTGGGTACATTAGATTCTCTCTGTAATAAAAGGAACAGTTGCTTTGCCATTCTATTAAACGGTACTATGTGAACATCACGTATCGCGTCATCAAATAATACAATATAATGTGTTAGCTTGCCCGGTCAAGTGAGAATTAACCAGTAAGAAGAAAGACGCAAATTGATACAAAGAGTATGAAAGTGAGCAAAGCATTGGTCTCTCTACTTCGCAGGTAACGTTAGCTTTTTTTGAGAAGAAATTATCACTATATGAAAGACGTGGAGTAAACTCATAGTACTAGTCATCCTATTTCTTCTCTACTATTTACTACTTGTGCACAATAGTCCTGTCATAATAATCAATAGTTAGCTTGGAAAACGATCTTTAAGCGTGGATCGACAAAATTCGACGCAAAGTTTCGCGTGACCTCGTGTGCAACATTGGCATGAATAAAAGTCGGTGAGATAATTTTGTTGAACAATTCCCGTTTAATTCCTTCGAGACAGATCCATACGCTTTCCCTCGCAAGAAGAGGTCCAGGTAGACCCGGGAAAAAAAAACGCACAAGATTCGAAGCACAAACACTAATGTCCGCTTCCTCAACCAAACCCACACCAACGACACCAACTCCTAAGAGGACTTCAGGCAGAGTAACCTTCTCAATACCCATAGATTCCTCCCGGACGCCTGAATTAACAATTTCGACTACTCCACAAAATACACGAAAAGTATCAACAAGACACACTTCAGGCATTAATGGGTCTTCGTCTGATTGGAAAGACACTAGAAGTTTAGTATTATCTCCACCTACAGTCAGAATAAAAGTTAAAACGACAGACAAAAACGAGTCCTCAGACTCTAAAGACGCTACTGTCGGATCCTATTCAACGTCTTCAATGCCATCGTCAACAACTCGCCGTCGCCCAGGTCGACCGCGCAAGGCCTCTCCTCCATCCACTCCTCAACCCATTTCAACAACAGACTCGTTATTGGGAAAGAGGCGTAGATCAGCACAAGATCAAAAGTCAGGGTCAACATCTGTTGCACGCTCCGATCCTACCCAAAATTCGCCTGGCCGAAAGAAGTTGAAGAGATCGTTGCCAGTAAACAAACCGTCTGACGAGATAGCAAGCGTCGATAAGAGAGAGCTGTCTTCATTGGAGAAATTGAGATTGAAGGCGATGCAAGAGAAGGAAAATGATCTTGTGAAAGTGGTGGAGAGACATGAAGCGCTGGTTAGGGAGTTGTTCTTTATGGAGAGTAGAAATGCTGCGATGACTGATCTTGATCCTCAGAAGTTGAAATTGGAGAATAATGAACATGTTATGAAGGTACACTGTTGTGCATAATGTATATATGAAACAACAATATCAATATAGATGACGACATAATTTAAATTGCGTATTATGGTGTATTATGGATGGTTGGAGTAATAATGTTCATATGTCATGAATTATTTTAATAAATTTAAATAAAATACTTTACTAACACGATTACTTGAATACTTATTGTATCGAATATTTGCTATTCTACTCTTGTACTGTCATTTATACTGTTATTATCTCCACCATCTATTTTTTTGCATTAATTAGTTTGACT